CAAGGGCAGGGATTAGGCAGGGTGGGTCAGACGCTGCGTCCCACATCGGAGTGCCATTTCATCCTTGGCTCTAGTTCCCGCCTGCAGCTTCCTGCCAAGGTAGAAGCTGGGAAGCAGCAGTGACGGCTCAAGTGACTGGGTTCCTGACACCCATGTGAGAGACCTGTATTGAGTTTCCAGCTCCTCAGCTCAGCCCCAGCCTTTATAGGCGTTTGGGGAGTAACAAAGCAGATGGGCGAGCTCTCCATCAGTCGAATAAATGTAAAAAGTATATAGTACTTGGTTTTATAGCAATTCTTCCAACAACAACAAAAAATTCTTTTGAGAGACAAAGTACATCCATCTGCTGGTTCACTCCACAGATCCATGTGGCTGACAGGGACTTAACAAAGAGCAGAGCCAAGACCTGAACCCAAGAACTCCAATATGGTACACAGATGCTCAAAGAGTGGTTTAACCGCTGGGCCAAACGCCCACCCCAGCTCCACACCGATTTCTAAGCTATACTAGTAAACCATGGAAATACCCCAGTCTCATACTTTGCCTAAAAGAGTGAATGAGTAGTCTGACGCATATCCAGAAGAGGGGAAGGGTTGCTTGATGGGTACCAGGTTGGAGTTGGACAGGGTAAGTTGTTCTGGGGTTCTATAGCACAGTAGGATGACTATGAAGTTATCCAAGTTACAGTTTTAGTCAACTTTTCTTATACATCTTTCTCCTTATCCCTTTTCTTTAAACCTTTTCATTTGTCCTCTGGATAGCCAAATGCAACCTCTGGTCTAACATCATTGTTTGGAACATGTAAGAGGTATTTTTACAGGTCTCAGTAATAGGAATGGTGTTTATCATGTATCCTATCATATCATTATCATATATCATATGCAGCTCACTGAACTCAGAACAGATTGTTAATGCTGGGAAGCCATCCCAGAAATCACCTTTATCAACAGCTATTATCACAGCACCTACTCCTTTCAGAGTAACCTGTCAACTTTTAAGAACCTGGAGTCTCAAGCACAGTAAAAGCCACTTAAAGATGACTTAGTCAACCCAAGCTGCCTACCCTGGAGATGTTACCAACAGATTTCTGTTCCTTTCCATACTGTAGAGTTTTGAGAAGCAGCTGTCCCATCAGGACCCCACTTGGGAGTCCCCTTTGCATTCAAGTGGGACCATGACTAGCTCTTGCCAAAGGAACATGAGCAAACTGGTAAGTATACTTCCAAACCAAAGTCCCCAAGTGCCAGCTGAGTGATCTTTTATTCTTCCTCTTTCACCTCGCCCTCCAGTGGATGGCTCCTGGGCTAGCTGGAGCCACCACAGGGCAAACCCATGTGTGAAAAGAACCTGGGGACCTGAATTACTTACTGGAGATGAGCCTGCCCAGGAGAGACACTCAGTCAGGTACTCCTGCATTGGACATAATGAGTGAAGGCACTGAAAAGCCTTAGTTGTCCTAACATACTGTCCAGTTTCATGACGTTGGAATTTAACTTGAGGTATTCCAAAAAAGCAAGCTGATACAACAGATCTTATACATGCAAAATGTATTGTGGTTACAAAAACATTCTGTTCTGAAAAAGGCCTTGTGAAGATTTCCTTATTCTGTTACACAAAGGGACTCTGATGTATACAATCTCCTAGTCATTTATCAGTGGGAACAGAAGGCACAATTATATCAGGTGTGACGTGTGTGGGAAGACAGTCCAATATTCACTTATGTAGATAGAATAAACTCATTTTCTGAAAATTCCCAACTCTTCTGCATTGTAGAGTGGTCTTGTTAATGAGGTGGATGGGTGAGGAATCACTGATTACCTAAATTGGTAATTTCTGATTTCTAAATTGGTCTTGCTTTTGATAGCAGAAAAAAAAATGAAAGGCAGAAAATGTATTCTAAATTTAGCCGTAACAATTTTGTATTTAAGGTAAGTTTCCGAGAAAGATAACTGAGAATCGGGGATACAGAAAGCATCAGCAAGAGCTGGGAAGAACCATTGCAATGTAAACAGCATGGCTGCAGGACAACGTACCTCTGCAGCCACAGGCTGAGTGCAGTGCTGGCCAGGATCAGAAAATTAAAGCAAATGCTTAACAAGAATTCCTAATGACCCTGCAGAGGAATGAGCTCCCCCAGAAAACAATGCCTGATGCAATCAGAACTCGCAATGTCCCTGTACTTTGCCACCCAAATTACTATTTAGATCCTTGAGTTCAATTGGTCCTGATTACAAGATGAACACTGCTTGTCCTATGGTGAAAAAAATTAATTTACAGGAATTACAGATTTCTCTGCAGATACTAACAAAATTTAAAGGGTATGCATCTCTTGATCTAGCAACTAACCTTCCAGGAACCCATTCTGAGAAGTGTTAAGAGTGTGGGGAAAAGAGGGATTTAGTCTTTAATAAAATAGGGGGGGGGGGAGGGGACGTGAAGTGCAACTGAGAATCAGTCAGATCCGTTAGGGCAAATCTGTACTGCAGAATGCACCTCCCGCAAAGAAGCCATGGATCTGTACGTCCCCCGAGGGAAGCACAGAAGCTGAAGGTATGTTCCTGCGGCTGTCTTCTACACTTGCAGCTTTTGTCTATGCTAGAAAAAAGGACTGGAAAGTTAAAGATCAGGTAATGAGTTATTACTGATTTTAAAGTGGGAGTTTTACCTTTATACTTCCTATAGTCATAATTTAGTGGATTCACAGTGTGCTGCTTTCATCACTAGCACCTTCCTAGGCCCTACCTGTGACAGAAAGACTTGGACCATCCTCTAAATCTGTCTCACTCCCACCTACACTAAGGGCTCTCCTTTCTGGAACATCTTCCCCCAGCGCATCTAGCCTAGTACTGCCAGGCGACCTCTTCCGAGACGGATCTCACTGCTCATGGCCCAGAGAATTATATCCCATTTGTCTAACCATCTATTCCCCTCAAAGTCTCCCAGGCAGTAATAATTCCAGCTTGACTTGAAGTCTCAGCTGTTCATGTAGGGTTTTACCTGTTTTCCCACTTAGCGAGGTTGCAGGCATTCCAGGTGAAGACGCCATCACAATTCGCTCACCTCTGAGTACCCCACCGTGCTCGACCAGTGCTTGCTGAATTGGTGTGGCAATTTTTTTTTTTTTGCAATTCAATGTATATATTACTAGTAACTTAGAAAGAGATCAAATGATAACTTTATTTTTACCTAAGATAAAATCCCAAAGCTTAAAATAAGATATTTTAGAATATGTCACAAGTAAGTATGGGGCAGGAAGAGTTCAATAATTTTTAAGGTAAACCTTTGATAAATCTACAAACATTGATATTTACAATATTCTTTAATACAGATGTATACAACATGGTATCATATTTAATGTACAAAATAGTTTAAATCATATTTTATTAAAGAACATTCCAAAATTCAAATTGATGAAAACCAGTAGCAACAGTTTTATCAATAATCATGCAATACTTGTATGTCTAGTAAGCTTACAACATATATTTACAAGTAAAATCCACAAATTTAAAGATATATGACTGATCTATTTAAATTAGGCTAGAATCTAAATGCTATTTTTATAATTCATAGGTTGAAGTTAACTGTTTTTTGGTAATCTATGAAACAGGAATACATCAATAAAGACATTTTAACAAACCTCTTAATTCCTAAGAGACTATACTTGGAAACCTCAAAAATAGCATATCAGGCATTCTTCCCCCAAAATTAAACTTCTTATGAATATGCTCATAAATAAAAAGAGACTGTATTTAGTTCCACATAGAGTCCTTGGCATAATCACATCTTCTCCGCGATAATTTAATTTTCTCCTGATTTAGGTAGGGATAACATATTTATACCTTCCCTTATTCCAGGAAGGACTTAAGGTAGTTTAGAAAACAGATTCAGAAAATACCAGAAAACACAATTAGAACTTAGAGGAAAAAAAAAAAGAAAAAAAAAAGAGATGGAGTAAACAGCACTCATAAAACCATTTAAGAAAAAGGCTAAGCTAAAATATATTATATATTCTCCCACAATAATTTTCTGGATATATTACAAAATATATTAATTTGTAAGAAAACTACTAAAGTACTGGTAAACTGGAGATGCAGATCAAATTTCTTTATTGAATTTTACTAATCCTGATGGGCCAGAGGATTCTTAAAAAAATTGTGTGCTTCTCTTTGTACTTGGGTGAAAGAAGTTTTCCTAAATACCATAATGTAAGACAGCAGATGTAGTTTACAGCTATTGGCGAGAGTGTAGGCGAAAAAAATTCAGTTTGCATGCTCTCTGACTGACTTCTATGGAGGCGTCCACAATGGGATGATTGCTGATGACTTGCAGATGGGCGGCTATGATTCAGGCGGTCAGGTCAGAGAGGTGTCATAGGGCTCTTTCTAAGTCAGAGCAGCATTCCAGGACACTCTGGTCCTATCAGTTCCTATGTCATCTTAATAAACCCGAAGAAGATAAACTAAAGAGCAGGAGGCTTGCTCAGGCTGGCACATTGAGATCATGGTGCTCTCTGCGACCCAGAGAGCTGCAAGGCCTCTCACTGAACTGTGTCAGATCTCACCCCACTCCCTAACCAGAGGAATGGGAGCAGGTCTGTTCATCTCTCGTCTGCAGGCCTAGTTTTCAGTGATGGACAGAATGATGCTGTGCCTGTATGAAGAGAGCTAGGAACCAGCGGGAGTGAGGACAAGGGAGAGGGTCTGAGAGAGGTGGGGAGGAAAGAATGGAAGCAGGATGCTCCTCTGAAACTCAGGACCGGAACAAAAGGTCCACCAGACAACTAGCACTACCACCACCTCCTGTGTGTTTCTGAGGATGAAGGTCCCAAGCAACACTCCTGAGTTTCGGTCAGGTCAGGGGAGAATGAAGTGCAAGACTAGATCTGGAAGAGCGGACTGCAGTGCTCCAGCCCAGCGTCTGCGGGCAGCAGTGACTGCTGGCACAGCACCAGCACAGCCTGCTGACCCATTAGGCACAGCACTTCACACCCACAGTGGGTGTCAAGAGACCCATAAGGGGACTGTGGTCGTGGCGTAGCAGGTAAAAGCCGGCATCCCATATGGGCACAGCTGGAATCTCACCTGTTCCACTTCTGATCCAGTTCCCTGCTAATGGCCTGGGAAAAACAGTGGAAAAAGCAGGGAAAAGCTTGGGCCCCTGCACCCATATGAAGACCTGGATGAAGCTCTGGCTCCTGTCTGTGGTCTGAACGAACCCTGGCTGTTGCAGCCATCTGGAGAGGGAACCAGCAGATGGCGGCTTGCTCTCTCTCTGTAGCTCTTTCAAATCAATAAATCAATCTTAAAAAAAGGCCCACAAAAATGCTCTAATTTTGTTCAGCTTCATGAGAGACAAAAATGGAACTTTTTTAAACTGAAAGAAATGTTTTAATCGAAAATAGCAAGAAGGTCATTTTATACATACACAATTAGAAAAGGTAATATTTTGCATGGAAGAAAGGAACCAAGAAGGCAAAGTGCCTGGGCCTGTGAAAATCGCAATGCAGCTCTGAGGAGAGGGTCAAACCAACTGTGGGAAAGGAAACTGACGATTATTTAAAAGAATTAGAAGACAGTGACTCAGGGCTAACATAATGGAGGGAGAAAGAGTTGGATATTACTATCTGTTTCACTGAGTTTTCTCTTTTTGAATGCTACTTTGAAATCAGACTTTTAAAGAAAACTAAATATCAGTGTCAACTTCCATTAGCCAGGCAGGAAGAGAAAAAACGATTAAGCTCTTTATTTTAGTCACTGTGCAGTAATAGAAAGAACAAAACTGGCTGAAGAGACTTGGGTATTTTCAAGCCCTTTCTCCACAGCTGTGTTATTAGAAGTAGGTTTTTCAGAACCTGACTCCTGTGTTACTCCCACTTGGTTCTAGACGTCTCTGTTTCTCCGAAGCCTTGCAACAGCTATGTTGCGTTGCCCAGGCTGGCAGTGCCAGGAAAGTGCACCCCCACTGTTACAAAGCTGTTTTAGGAACATGACAAGAGAAAAAAGGGGCAGGAGGGAAGCAAATAAATAACAAAGTTCAGGGGCCAGCGCTGTGGTGTAGTGGGTAAAGCCGCCGCCTGCAATGTCGGCATACTTTATGGGCACTGGTTCAAGACCTGGCTGCTCCACTTCCAATCCAGCTCTCTGCTATGGCCTGGGAAAGTAGTAAAAGATGGCCCAAGGCCTTGCGCCCCTGCATCCATGTGGGAGAGTCGGAGGAAGCTCCTGGCTTCAGATCAGCGCAGCTCCCACTGCTGTGGCCAACTGGGGAGTGAACCAGCAGGTGGAAGACCTCTCTCTCTACCTCTCCTCTCTCTGTGTAATTCTTTCAAATAAATATTTAAAAAAAAAAAAAGTTCAATGTCCAAAATTATACTGTCAAAAATAAAACAAAAAGGGAAGGATCTAATTAAACTGTGGTTTTCTAGATAGAAGAATTGAGATATTTATACTTATACTTCTCTGCGTTTAAAAATATATAAGACAAAGGTACTCTATAGTCAGAAAAAAATACTCAGTGAACATGATTTTAAAAACTGTGCTCTCAGGGCTGGTGTTGTGGTACAATGGGTAAAGCCACCATTATGGGCGCCGGTTTGAGTCTCAACTGCTCCACTTGTGATCCATCTCCCTGACAATGAGCCCGGGGAAAGAAGCTCCTGGCTCTGGATCCACTCAGCTCTGGCCATTGCGGCCGTTTGGGGGAGTGAATCAGCGGATAGAAGATCTCTCTCTCTCTCTAACTGTTCCTTTCAAATAAATAAATAAATCTTAAAAAAAGAAGAAACTAACAAAAATCACTTTTTAGTGTCTGTTTCCCAATGTACAATAAGTAAGTATGGTCAAAAGAGGAGCACAAGGGAATGAATTATTGCCTCCCACAGAACCACAGACTTTTACACTTGGAAAGGAACAAGTCACAAAATTCAGATCCTTCAATTACAAGTGAGGAGCCTGACATTCAGAAAGGTTGTAAGATTTGACCAAAACCACACAGCAAAGCTAATAATAGAATCAAGACAAGAGTTAAGGTTCCCAGAGTTTTGGTATAAAACTCTTGCACTCCTGGACCTCACAGTAATTACATTATAAGGTACTTTTCATTGTTTATCCTAGCTGCACAGAAAGATAGACAATACCAATGATCTTTTTTTAAAATATTAATTAGGGAACTGAACTACCTTAAATATAAAGTTACAGGGGAGTAGTCCAATAATTACAATGAACCATACAATTTTAAAACTGGAAGGACACTAACAGATAATGTACATCTCAGTTAAATTTGGCCCAGTGAAACTGAACTGTATTTTCCAAAGTCACAAGGTTGACCCAGGTCACTCAAAAAGGGCTCAATGCTTCTTCCAAAACCGCCTTATTCTGCTTTGGCTATTGATTACAACCAAATAAACACAGAACTACAGAATCATATCTGGCTTGAATACAAAGAAATGGTTACAAGTAAGAATGCTTGGAGAAATAGTGTAAATTAAGTTTAATAAAAATGAACAAATCTATTAAATTTCAGTAAGAGGCAGCAATAAATTTTAAATTGTACTTAATTATGGGTCACAATTCTGAGTCTTGTTATCATCTGAAGATGACACAAGATCAGCTGGTGTCTCAGGTTCATGAATCCAAAACAAGATTCTAATGTCTGAAATTCCCTAGCTCAGGGACTAGAAAATGACGACTAGCATCCTATATTTCCTGAGGATCCTGAACTACAAATGGTTTTCAATTTGTAAACAGCTTTCTAAGAATACAAAGAAGAATACCTGATAGAGACTGTTATGTGGCTTGAAAAACAGAAAATTGTTTACAAACTGAACCTCGACATAAAAAAAGTCTGCATACCTCTACTTAAGGTCCAGAAAATATAGGACACTGGGCCAAATACATGCTATGTCCTGGACGCCTTTTTGTTTTGAAAATTAAATCTGATTGATTCAAGCTTTATGGTAATTTGCCTGTTTATCTTGATAAGTGAGAAAAACATTAAGTGTGAGGGCCATGATTATCAGTTCCAGTAAAATGAGGTTTTACCACACACTAATGTATGTGGACATGCAGTTGAAGATAATTATTTTATGTATGTGAAATCCTTTAAAAAAGCTTTAAATAGTTGAGAAAATGGCTTATTTTATAAAATGGAGGAAAACACCTATGATTAAAAACTGGCAATTTGATTCTTTCCTTTGGGTCTCTCTTCTGTTTTTAAGATTTGCTCCACGTGCTTCTCCTGACCCCACACAGCCTGCTGTTTGATTTATTAATCAGTAGTTCTCAACCATGTTAATTTTTTCAGTGATCACTCAAGCATATCTCATTTGCAACTCCAAATAACAAATAAACAAATCTCATCAGAACATACTAGAGGAATGTGGAAGTGTTTCTAATGAGATATGAGATACCAAAATGGAACATAATAAATGACTAGCTCAGGGAAGAAATAAAAAAGCAGAGACATCCACTTCACTCACCAATCAGAACACAACAGTAAAGCAGACCACCTGTATACATTTTCATAGCCTTGTGTTGTATAATACAGGACTGGAACATTGTGGTAGACCTTGGTTTACACAGCACCCTGATAATCACAATATAAAACAAGCCCACATCTCTTCCTTTGTATATGATTTATGTGGCAAAGTATGGATTTTGTGAACTAGAGAATAAATACCAAAACTGTGCCACTTTTACCCAAATTACAATGATTTCAAGGTTAAGTAGGTTCTATCATTATCAAGATTAAAATGTCTTATTTTAAAATAATTACATTAATAGTTCCTTTGTACAGTTCTCTGGAGACACTCCATTTTCTTGCTTGCTTTTATAATTGGCAAGGAACAAGTTTTCTATTTGAGTCAAGAATTCTTCAGCAATGAAGCAATTGGCTACTTTGCTCAGAGTTTTCCTCAGACATTCCAAAAGCTAGTTGAAGAGAAAAGTTTTATATTTAAATACATACCAAGTGTAAGAAGAGGGTTTGCATTACTAAACTTCTTTCTTTTCCAAATCTCACATTTTTTCAAATGAGAAACACTCTCCTTAAGTGTGGCTGAAGATTAACTTGTGTTTAATTGAACAGCTGAAATGCTGGAAACTACTGTCGGGAAACAGTTTAGTTCCTTTATAATCTAGTTCCTTTACAATTTTACATAAGGAGACAAACCTGGGATTATGTAATGCTTTCTACTTTGGACAAATCTTGACTTTTTTTTTTTTTGAAAAGAAAAACTATCTACATTCAAACACAGGACTCTGTCATTTCAAAATTATAGTCTATTTTCTAGGAAATATACATATTAATCATTCAACAGCACACAGAAAGAGGTGCCAAATAGTAAAAAGAAGTTTAATATATGGAAATTTTCTATTCCCAAACAGCTACCCACCCCTCCAAAAAAGATAAATATTGCAACACTACAGGTCTTAACAGATGACAGAAGCAAAGTAGAAATGAAATAAAAGAATTCAAAACTATTATTTTCTACTAGAAAGTTAAATAAAATGACCATTTAAATTGAATTGCTAGATTTATACCATCATTCTTTAAAATAATCAACTGTTAAAGCTAAACAAAAGAAACAAGGTGCTTTGGAATTTAATAAAATGAGAAAAATGTTCTTTACTGTGCAGTAATAATCTGCTAAGAAATTTATCAGTCAACACTGACAAATTCATTCTAAAACAGTATTATTTCTATGTACAAGCTTAAACAACAAAACATATTACTAATTATCTCCTGAAATTAATTTTAGAAAGGAAAAAGCAATAAAGGAAATACACAGAAAATGTATCCACAAAGCATTAGGCATCATGGGAAAACACATGGAGAAGAATAGCTCTGGAATCTGTGAACAATGGAACCAATTAAAATGAAGGCAGCTTACTTTCTGCAAACAAGTCAGGTCAGAATCCCGGCGAAAGATTCTATCCATGGGGACACTGCTGCAGGAAGAAATATGAAAACTGATGAAGCAAATGCTATAAACCAATCAGCTGTGTAACAAACCATCACTGATACCATACATCACAATTTTATATTTAACTTGGGTTTTCTCTGAAACATAATTTAACGGGAAATGCTGCAGCTGTGCAACCACTGCAAAGCCCGGTACATACCTATGGGAGAGCCTGTATTTTTCTATTATCCATCTTGTCTTTTCAAACACTAATCCCCACCGAGGTTCTTCTAACATCTGTTGTACTTCAAATTTGTAAGGTAAACCTAGACAAGCATACAGAAGCACATTTTCATCCACCATTTCTTAAACCTCCAGTCTCCTTTTAATTACTTAAAATCCCCTTCAGTGTCTTTATACTTTGGCAGACCAGCCTGAATAACACCATAAGCATAGTGGGCATTCATTAAATATTTATTACCTGACTGTATCTGGTCTACCAAGCATATTAATGCCAAGTTATTAATAATAATAAAGAAAATTAAAAGTGTCTCTTGCATGACAATTCTTTGCAAGGCACTGTGAGGCAGGATGATCACCTAATTTGCTGCTCAAACTGAAAGATGTTTTAAGAGCAAATAGACACTGCTAATAATTACGCCAGAAGCACAGGCTTAAATTGAGGCTGTCCTAGGTAAACTAGGACATACTGCCATCTTGGTGATCTATTTATTTATTTACTTATTTCATTAAACAGGTTGTTAAACTTACAACAATGCTATAAGGTAGGTAGCATTATTCCTATTTTACAGATGAAAAAACAGATTGAGAGAGTAAACAATGAATTCAGGCTAGCAAAGTATCTGAGCTTAAATCTGAAAGCCCAGAAGGTCTGCCAGACTTTTGAACCTGTACTCATTCCCCCTCCCTACAGTGGCTAATTTAAGAAAGACGAGACAGGGAATAGGATTAACTCTGGGGAAGGAGCAACTGCACTTCAGTCAAAGCTGTCATGCTCAATGCAGAGGAAAGGAGCCCAAAGGGTGGACAGCACATATACAGATGGAAAGGAAAAAACACCAATGGGCCATCTCAGCAATTTCTAACACTTCCGTCAAGACTGTCACGTAAATGCATCTGCAGTGTACTGAAAGAAAAGCTCAACTGATCAATACCGAAGGCCAGAGTCACTGTGGTAACAACACTGATATAATGCTTACCATGTGCCCAGGCTTTAGGTGCTTTATATATTTGAGGTCATTTTAAATGAAGGAGCCACCACTATTGGACCTATTTTTCAGATGAGGACACTGAGTCACACAAATATTAGATAATTCAAATTTGGTCATATATAAGAGGTAGAGGCAGAACCTGAACCCAGGCAGTCTCGCTGGAGAGCTTATATATTTATTTGTTTTGTTGCTGTTCTTTTTTTTTTTTTAACATTTTATTATTTATTTATTTGAGAGGTAGAGTTACAGTGAGAGGGAGTGACACAGAGAGGTCTTCCATCCGTTGGCCGTGACGGCCAGAGCTGGGCCAATCCGAAGCCAGGAGCCAGGAGCTTCTTCCAGGTCTCCCACACAGGTGCAGGGGCCCAAGGACTTGGGCCATCTTCTGCTGCTTTCCCAGGCCATAGCAGAGAGCTGCATCAGAAGAGGAGCAGCTGGGACTAGAACTGGCACCCATATAGGATGCTGGCACTGCAGGTGGAGGATTAACCTACCGCGCCACAGCACTGGCCTCTTATGTGTTTATTTTTTATCACACTGGCTTTCAATTGAGTTTTTGCCATAGTAACCTCTTTTAAGTAAATAAAATCCAGCAAATAAGCTTGTATGAAATACCCAGGGAAAAAATCAGGAATGTATTCCTTCACAATGAAACAAAGCACAGCTTAATTATCATTTGTGCTCTAAACAGACATTTTTTTGAGGTATTCTACAGGAAGGAAGAAGATTCTAAGCCTAATTTTTTTTTTCATTTCTTAATTTTTCCCCCTTATGTTTTATTTATTTATTTATTTATTTGACAGGCAGAGTGGACAGTGAGAGAGAGAGACGAGATAGGTCTCTTTGCCGTGGTTCACCCTCAATGCTGCGCGCCAGTGCGATGCAGCCAGTGCACCGCGCTGATCCGAAGGCAGGAGCCAGGTGCTTTTCCTGGTCTCCCATGGGGTGCAGGGCCAAGCACTTGGGCCATCCTCCACTGCACTCCCTGGCCACAGCAGAGAGCTGGCCTGGAAGAGGGGCAACCGGAACAGAATCCGGCACCCCGACCGGGACTAGAACCCAGTGTGCTGGCGCTGCAAGGCGGAAGACTAGCCTACTGAGCCATGGCGCCAGCCTCCCCCTTATTTTTATTTTTCCCCTCTAATATCTTAAGAAGAGTGACATATTATAGTATGTGGGCTATTAAACAAGCCCTTTTAGTGATAATTATTTACTTGACACGGTTTGATTATTTATTAAGCACAGACATCAGCTATAATCGTAATTGCTAAAAACCTATTATTTGCTAAACACTTCATATATGTTACCAACAATCCTTACAACCACAAGCACTGTAAGCAAGGTAATACTTTTTTCTCATTTGATACCAGTAGCAAAGGTAAATGAGAGAGGTTAATTAACCTGCCCAAGGCATAATAACCAATAAATGTCAGAGATGAGATTTGACTCCAGATGAATGAATCCAACTTTCAATGAAAGTAGAAAATAGGGAACTAAAAAGGTAAATAATGCATTTTCAGTCTGTACTGATAAACATACATCTAAAGTACAATTATTCACAGCTCTGCTTGTTATTAATATTTTTCTAAGTTGATAAAATACACTGAAGACTTCTTTTTGGGCAGAATCCTCATTCCTATAATCAGAATAAAATTAATCCAAAGTATATTACCTAATAGTCGTAAGTACAGAAAAGGCTTACCCATTAGATATTTTAAAGATAGGGCCTGATCCAAGCTTGTGGAAAATGATAATTCTTACAGAGGGTTTCCAAGAGGAGCAAAGCAAAGCAAAGGATTTAGGATTAGATCTAATATGCTGGGGCTGGCACTGTGGCACAGCAGGTAAAGCTGCCACCTGCGATGCCAGCATCCCATATGGGCGCCGGTTGAAGTCCCAGCTGCTCCGCTTCCGATCCAGCTCTCTGCTATGGTCTGGGAAAGCAGTAGAAGCTGGCCTAAGTCCTGGGGCCCTGCACTGGTGTGGGAGACCTGGAAGAAGCTCCTGGTTCCTGGCTTCAGATAGGCCCAGCTCTGGCCACTGCAGCCATTTGGGGAGTGAATTAGCAGATGGAAGTTCTCATCTCTCTCGCTCTGTCACTCTGCCTTTCAAATAATAAAAATAAATCAATAAAAAAAGATACAGGTGACCATGAAGGCAGGAAAAAATTGGTACAGATGCTCATATTGGAGTGCAGGTTCGAGTCCCAGCTGCTCTGCTTCCAATCCAGTTCCTTGCTAATGAGCCTGGGAAAGCAGTGGAATACAGCTCAAGTACTTGGGCCTTTATCATCTACATGGGAGACCCGGATGGATTTCTTGGCTTCTGGCTTTGGCCTGGCTCACCCCCAGCCACTATAGCCATTTGAGGAGTAAACAAGCATATTCTGCCCTCCGTACTCTACCTTTCAAATAAATAAAATAAATCTTAAAAAAATAAAGAAAAATTATTAAGCATTCATTTAGAACCTACTTTATGCCAGGCCATGTGTTAGAAACAAGATAAAAAAATGAGTACCATTTAGTATCTACTGTCCAAGAACTCATGATTTAACAGGAGGAATTCAATATGGCATTTGCAGAGGCAGTGTCTAGAGGAGACCTGAACTAGAGCAGTGATATTAAAGATAGAGTAGAAAAAAGCAAACATACTAGAGCAGACAAATGTCTTCTTTCATTCATTTTCCTTTCCATCCACACTCCCTTCCTTTTCCTATCTATTACACTCATCCCTATCCACCTAGTGTTAACTGGAGCACAGGAGGACTCAACCCCAGAGGAATCAAGTCATGTGTTAGGTTATGTGAACCAAACTCTTTCTTGAGACGGAATAAGAACAAAGAGGTATAAAACTGGAGTTAATCATTGTTAAGTTTAAAGTGAGAGGTGACAAAGGGCGAGCAGCCACTTTTTTTCTTTTTCATATGCATGCTACAGCAGAGAAGGCCAGGCAGCATTCACAGAAAAATTTTCATGAGCATACAGGTTTTTGTCTGTTTTGTTTACTGCAGTGTCTTCAATACCTGCTTGGCACTAACTTTTCTTCACATTTTAATCCTTTTGCTGGTGGCCAATGGGAACTTAAATATACTGACACATTTTGAAAGCTAAGAGGCAGCTGCATGAGGTGACACACAGTGAATCCCTAGAGGATGGATATACTTTTGCATCAAACAATCCTAAACTTGTAAATTCTTCACCTTGTAAATTCAAAGAAATGAAGGGGATGAAGTGGATCTTATTAAAAACTTACGGTAAGAGCCATCTTGGCTCATTTCCTCACTTATAACAAGGCAGGTAATCTGAGAATATGGTAAAGGATTGTTTCGATTATAGGGACTAACAATCATTCCAATGAACTTTGCACCTCCTCTGGAGAAGTAAGTCTGCAATTATAAGAAAAGTATAATGAGTCCAAAAACATAGACTTTATCTATATAAACTTTTGAAACATCTAATAGGGAAAAATAAGAACAAAAAGTTACACTAAAAACTTCAAATCTAAGCAACAACTAAATGAAATGCCTTACACTCATACATTCATTTCACACTGTAAAATTTTCAGGCCAGAATGTCTCCAAGCCAATCTGAAATGACCCTTAAAATGAAAAGCACATGGCCTACAAAATCTACAATTGCCATGAATATATTTAATAGTTATATTAACTATCTCTCAGTTATAATACTTACTAATACAGTAACAATTTACAAATAGCTGCTTACAGCAAAAACATTCACATACCAAATTGCAGGTAAACCAAAACTCTGTTTTTCTCAGTAAAGCAAATTATGTTTACAATTAGTTTCAATTATTTATACCCACCCCTGCCCTAGCTGCTCATCACTTTTTAAAGACTCTAGAATATTTATCACTGTTACTTTTATGGCTTGTCTGTGCTGGACAAAACAGCTGACTTTCCAATGTTTACATAAACATACACCACTCTTACACCAGAAAAAACTGCAAGTTATTTCAAAATCCCAGATGTAAGAAATATTAGAAATGCAGTGCTAAAAACATTAACTTATTTAATAAAAAGCAACGGGAGGGGGGATGTGCAATCATAGCATATATACATTTCTTTTTTCTTTTTCTTTTTTTTTTTTGACAGGCAGAGTGGACAGTGAGAGAGAGAGACAGAGAGAAAGGTCTTTCTTTGCCGTTGGTTCACCCTCCAATGGCCGCTGCGGCCGCCGGCCGGCGCACCGCGCTGATCCGAAGGCAGGAGCCAGGTACTTCTCCTGGTCTCCCATGGGGTGCAGGGCCCAAGCACTTGGGCCATCCTCCATTGCACTCCCTGGCCACAGCAGAGAGCTGGCCTGGAAAAGGGGCAACCGGGACAGAATCGGCACCCCAACCGGGACTAGAACCCGGTGTGCCAGCGCCGCAAGGCGGAGGATTAGCCTGGTGAGCCGCGGTGCCAGCCAACATATATACATTTCTATAAACATACCTGGTATTTGGCTTGCGTGTCAATATCTCGTAAGGAAGGATTAGGATCAAACGCAGGATGTGAATGATACCATCCAATCACACTGTAGCCTCTAACAGCCAATGCTTCTGAGGCCTGTGTTTGTGATACAGGATCCATTTCACATTGTAGTCCTGTACTCAGACTGTTACATGGTTCTGCTGCACAGACCTGTAAAGGATTGATCTTCATGTGATTATACTGAAATTCTGTGAATCCTATTACTTGCAACTGAGTTCTACTCCAAAAGTGTGACTGTATGCTAGAAACACGGCATGTATTTTTCTATTAACAGAAGGTCATAATACTGGTTAGTTTTCCAGGTCAGACATAGGCAATTCTTTCAATGACTCCAATTATTTATGACAATTTCAATAGAATGATGTGTATTTTCAACTACAAGTATTAACAGGTATTTCTGGCTTCTTGGGAGCTGAGCTTTTTACTGATGAAGGTAACAAGAAGTCAGGGTCAGGGCTGTATGTTGTATAGTAGGTTAAGCCATAGCCTGTGATGCCAGCATCCCATATGATCCCATTGAATCCTGGCTGTTCCACTTCTGACCCAGTTCCCTGCTAAAGCACCTGGGAAAGCAGCGGGAGATGACCCAAGTGCTTGTGTCCCTGCCACCCATGTGGGAGACCTGGATGGAGTCCCAGACTCCTGGCTTCAGTGTGGCCCATCCCAAGCTATTGCAGCCATCTGAGGAGTGAACTAGTGGATGGAAGATCTCTCTTTCTGTCTCTCTCTCTCAAATAAATGAATGTTTTCTTTTCTTTTTTTTTTTTTTAAAGAAATCAAAGTCAGGCAATGTTCTTGCTCCACAGTTAAAAGAAGGGGGGGGGGGTCAGTATATGGAATGTTAAGTCACTTTTGGGAATACACAATTTTCCACATTTGCATACTCTCATATATACTTATATTATAGGTAGAGTCTGTATTATAGTCAGTGAATTGTATTAAGATATTTGGTGCAGGGGTAGGTGCTGTGGCATAGAAGAATAAGTCTCTGCTTGCAGCACCAGCATCCCATACAGGTGCTGCGTCAAGTCCCAGCTGCTCCTCTTCTGATCCAGCTCCCTGCTAATGCACCCGGGAAAGCAGCAGAAGATGATCCAAGTCCTTGGGCCCCAGTACCCACATGTGAGACCCAGAAGTGCCTGGCTCCTGGCTTCAGCCTGGCCCAGCCCCGGTCATTGTGGCCACCTGGTGTGTGAACCAATGGATGGAAGATCTCTTTCCTTTCTCTGTATCTCTGCCTTTCAAATAAATAATCGTTTTTTAAAGATATTTGTTACAGTAGCAGCATTCTTGTTTTTTTAAAAAAGAACTTACTTCAACTATCTTATCACCTTCTGAGTATCTTCCGCCCAATAGGCCAATTACTTCTGCCATGGAAACATGAGCATGCTAAAAGAAACACAAGACAGACTCAGCCCAAATGCACAAATCCACCTGAGAAAAATCAGAATGCAAGCACTACCAGAAGACAGTCACTTATAAGTATAGTAATTATGCTATTCTAAAATGAAGCAGCACAGCATGGGAACCAGATGCCAGCCTCAGTGCACACATACCTAGATTTCAACTCTATCTTTACTATCAGCTGAGAGGCTTTGACCCAAACACTCCAAGACAACACTTTCTCACTTAGAAAATGAAGACATAGGGGCTGGCGCTGTGACAAAGTCCCCGCATCCCATATGGGCACTGGTTCAAGTTTCAGCTGCTCCACTTCCAATCCAGCTCCCTGCTAATGTGCCTGAGAAAGCAGTAGAGGATTGCCCAAGTCTTTGGGCCCCTGCACTCACATGGGAGAAGAAGCTCCTGGCTTCGTATTGGCTCAGCCCCAGCCATTGCAGCCACTCGGGTATTGAACCAGCGGATGGAAGACCTCTCTTGCTCTCTGTCTCTACCTCTCTCTGAGACTCTTTTAAATAAATAAATAAATAATCTTAAAAAAAAAAAAAAAAAGAAAAAGTAAATGAAGATACCATTTGATCTCCCTAGTCAAGAGAAATATTATAAGTATACACAAAGTAAAAATCACTCTGGGACCTTGTACAGAAAAATACAACAAACACAACTGTTGGAGGTGTTGGCACTTGGGTGCAAACAAGGAACCTCCAGATTATAGGAGTTTTGTTTGTTTCAGTGATCTAAAAGGCAGCAGACAGAGGATATTAGGAAATGAAAACTGGATTAATTATGGTAAACAGTCTGCAAGAACTCACATTAATTTATTTTCTCTAAAAATGGGAACATGCAATTGTTTGGCTTTTTTTCCAAAAAAAAAAGACTTATTTTTAGATTCCTTATAAAAGAGGACAATTAAGATCCAAAATACCCGTCTTCCATACTCTCTAATGCCTGCAATAAAAATACACAAGAACAGAAATCAGAATAACTACGTAAATACAATAGATTATCCTTACCAAATCCATTATTAAAAGAGCTTCTGAAGCCACTTTCACCTGAAATGGCTCCTGAAAAAAAAAAAAACATGGGGACACATAGTTTTTTTTTCTTCCCCAGTTGAAACATCCATCCCTTTTTCCTTAACTGGCCCTCTAATTAGATTAATTAATTTCCTTAATTAGCCATTACCAATAATCAAAGCTCATTGATTTTAAAAATCATAGACTTTTGGGGCCGGCACTGTGATGCAGCAAGGTTAACGCTCTGGCCTGAAGCACTGGCATCCCGTATGGGTGCCGGTTCTAGTCCCAGCTGCTCCTCTTCCGATCCAGCTCTCTGCTATGGCCTTGGGGGATAGCAGTGGAAGATGGCCCAAGTCCTTGGGCCCCTGCACCCACATGGGAGACCCAGAAGAAGCTCCTGGTTTCTGGCTTCAGATTGGTGCAGCTCCGGCCGTTGCGGCTATCTGGGGAGTGAACCAGCAGGTGGAAGACCTCTCTCTGTCTCTACCTCTCTCTGTAACTCGACTTTCAAATAAACAAAATAAATCTTTAAAGACAAATCATAGACTTATTAAAAAATTACTATTCAAAAATCCAGCAGGGAGAAATTTCCTCTCATTTTCACCTATTAACACACATCTGACCCTTCATATCCCTTGCCTTGCCCAATGTTTTCATGTATACATGCCTCACAGAGAAAAAGAATAAATATTTCCTGTCTGATGGAGATTATTATTTACGATCAATCATTGATGCATAAATAGTACCTGTTTTTCTTCACTGAAAAAATTACAAGGTATCAGTTGGAAAGGATCAAATGAGCTAAAAAACAAAGAATTAATTTTTAATATAAATGAACAAGATTACAAAAATAACATTTACACACAAATTTGAAAATATAAACCAGTAATCTAAATGAAATTTTACCTGAATGAGAAAAATGTGAAAGTAGGAAAATTTCTCAGGATATTCCCTATAATGCTTTATAAAGCAGCACTGTTCTTTTCAATTCACAAAAAAGGAGAGAAATATGGGGAGAGAATAATTCTGTTGTCTTAATTTCCTTTCACATCAAAAAGAACCCTACAAATGGTCAGACGTGTGTCCTACACTGATAACAGATTCAAAAAATTCAATGAAATGTACCTAACTCTGACATGAGACCTGAAAGAAAATTCAAGAAGGATGGGAGTTCCTCAATAATGCTCCTGTCAATATAATAGTGTTCCCATCACAGAGAAGGGATTCAATAAATGTTTTCTGAATAAACAAATCACAAAGAGTTCTACTGAAGAAATTAATCCACACAGAAAATTCTATTAACTCTTATTTTAAAGTGAAAAAGTAAGGAGATAAAAAAGGAGGAATGTAGGCAAGACTAGATACAAAACATGTAAATATGAGAAAAATTATAGAAAGGCTTTGACTAGTAAAGAATCGAGGTTGAAGAAAAATATTAAGAGCAAGTAAAAGATTTTGTAGGCTATGCTCAGAAAAACAAATAAGAATACAATCATGCTATTAATAAAATTGGAAGAGAATAGGACATTTCTACTAAAGAGACTTAAGTCAGTTTTCTCATCTGTAAAACAGGAATAGTAATATTAACTACTCCATAGGTTGTTATAAAGATTAAATGAGCTAATATATGTGAAGTGCTTAAAATTCAGCTAACAGTGTCAGCTATTTTAATTACTATTTATAAATGAGGACCCAAACCTTGCCCAAGGACAAATACTTGTAAGAAAATAACCTAATGGGTTTCCTAGGTGTCTTGCTTTAAAAGAGATACTGACAAAACTAAAGTTTACTTGATGTGGCACTTGTAGGAAGTGAGAGATCTAGAAAACTAAGAGCTTTAACTTATTTGGTAACCCTTAATTTTATAAGTAAGATGTTTGAGCTTATTATATATACCTTGAAAAACAACAAACTCCACAACCAATCATTTCATGAGGTCACCTGTCCCAGTGTCTAGAGTTGTTATGTCTGGCATAAACAAAGCCCCTATCAACCATGTTTAATTCTATGTTTACTGAACCTGAACAAATTAAACATTTTTGCTTAAGGTCTCCCAAATTGATAATCAATGCAATAAAAAAAATTACAAAAAGTTTAGCAGTATTTTTAGAAAAATTAATGTGAACAGTATAATGCATCCATTAGATATCTTTTCCACACATTTTTTCACCATTTATAATTTTTTTAAAATCACACTTATAACACATCACTATACCTTTTTGTTGCTCTTGACACTTTTGAAGATTTAACAGGTTTGCATTTTTCCTCTTCTCTTCTTTTTGCCAATTCCTCAGCAGAGAGATGCTAAAACAAAACAAGTTGATCAAAGAATCCATTAACTACCAAGAAGCAGAATCAATAAAAACAATCCTTTAAAACCAAGCTGAAGAGCATGTGAGAATAGGACAGATTAAACTGATAAAGATGTGCTCCTTCTTGCTACTAACAAATAGAAATGCTGGATAATATTTTTAAAAAAATTGTTTTGGGGCTGGTACTGTGGTATACTGTGTAAGGCTGCCACCCACGATGCCAGTGTTCCATATGGGCTCCAGTTTGAGTCCCAGCTGCTCAAATTCCAATCCAGCTACCTGCTAATGGCCTGGGAAAGCAGCAGAGGATGGCCCAAGTGTTGGGCCCCACCACCCATGTGAGAGACCTGGAAGAAGCCCCTGAGTCCTGGTTTTGGCCTGGCCCAGCCCTGGCCATTGAGGCTGTCTGGGGAGTGAATCAGCGGATGGAAGATATCTCTGTCTCTCCCTCTCTCTGTAACTCAGATTTTTAAATAAAGAAATAAATCCTTAGGAAAAGAAGCTTTAAAATTACAGAGCCATATCAAACTTACAGCTAGAATGCTATGGCCAGAAGTGGCCAAGTGGGTTAAGTTACCACTTAGGATGCCAGCATCCCATATCAGAGTGCAGATATATGTCTTGGCTGCTCTGCTTCCCATTCAGCTCCCCACTAACGTGCCTGGGAAGGCAGTGGAAGACACCCATTTGGGAAATCCATTCAGAGTTCCTGGCTTCTGGTTTGGCCTGGCCTAGTCCTGGCTGTTGTGGCCATGTAGGGAATGAACCAGTGGATGGAAGATGTCTCTGTCACTTTGCCTTTCAAATAAATAAACATTAAAATAAACAAACAAAAAATTAGAATACTTGGCTCTGTTATTTACTACCTGGGCAACTCGAGCAAGTGCTAAAGCTTCTGTGCTTCAATTTCTTCAACTTTAAAAATAGAAACAGTAACAGTAACAATGTCATGGTGTTACTGTAAAGATTAAATGAGTTAGTGTTTATAAAATACTGGCAACAGTATCTGACACATAGTAAGCCCTATATAAATATTTATAAAAGACATCTACCCATTCCACTCCTACTACCAACCTTACACTCTAGCCACACGAGCTATGCAGCTTTTCCAGAATATAGCTAATACTTCCCCATGACCGCAGCTTTGCTGATGCAACTCCTTTAGCCTGAAATGCTTTCATCTCTTTTTCAAGACTCTTACGCAATTCTTCAGCTCAAATATCACATCTGTGAAGCCTCTGATCACACATTTAGGTGGACCTTCTAATTGTAGGGACCATCTTAAAGAGAGGGAGAAATAGAGAGACAGCTACCATATGCTGGTTTGCTCTCCAGTCACAACAGCTGGGGCTGGGACAGGTCAAAGCCAGGAGCCAGGTGGAAGGGGCCCAAGCACTTGGACCATAATCCATTGCCTTTACAGCCACATTAGCAGGAGGCTGAATCAGAATCAGAGCAGCCAAGACTGGAACCAGCACCTTCATATGGAATACAGTGTTGCAAGCTGGGTTCTAACCTGCTGTGCCACAATACTGACCCCTCTAATTTATTTCTTACAACAACCCTTTGAGGGTATCATCACATTTCATAAATTTAAAAAAAGCCATGAGACCCAGGGAGGTTAAGTACTGCACACATTCACACAGCTTCTCTATTCTGCTATAGTGGTTGTATATAAAAATAACAGAATGCACATACATGCTCATTGCCTATGTTTCCTTTTAGGACATTAGTTTTTATTGGTAGAAAGAACACTTCAATTTTAATTCAATTTATGCCCAATACTTAGAATAATACTTAACTGGCATATCAGAAAATTATTCAATAAATGAAATAAACTGGGCATATCAACTTCTTGGCTCCTGGCATGTGTGTGTGTGTGTGTTTTAAGATTTATTTATTGGGGCTGGCACTGTGGCATAGAAAGTTAAGCCTCTACCTGCAGTGCTGGCATCCCATATGGACACTGGTTCAAGTCCCACCTACTCTACTTCCAATCCAGCTCCCTCCTAATGCACCTAGGATAGCAGTGGAAGATGGCCCAAGTGCTTGGGCCCTTGCACCCACATGGGAGACCCAGATGAAGCTCCTGGCTCCTGGCTTCAGCCTGGTCTAACCCCAGCCCTTGTGGCCATTTGGGGGCATAAATCAGTGGATGGGAGGACCTCTCTCTGTAACTTTTTTTTTTTTTTTTTGACAGGTAGAGTTACAGTGAGAGAGAGACAGAAAGAAAGGTCTTCCTTCCGTTGGTTCACCCCCCAAATGGTCGCCACGGCCAACGCTGTGCTGATCCGAAGCCAGGAGCCAGGTGCTTCCTCCTGGTCTCCCATGTGGCTGCAGGGGCCCAAGCACTTGGGCCATCCTCCACTGCCCTCCCGGGCCATAGCGGAGAGCTGGACTGGAAGAGGAGCAGCTGGGACTAGAACCCAGCGCCCATATGGGATGCTGGCGCTGCAGGCGGAGGATTAACCAAGTGAGCCACGGTGCCGGCCCCTCTCTGTAACTGATTCAAATAAGTAACATAAGTCTTTAAAAAATTAGAAAATAAATTTATTTGAAAAGCAGAGTGACAGAGACAGACAGAGAGGTCTTTCATCTGCTGGTTCACTCCCCAGATGGCCATGACAGCCAGGTCTGGGCCAGGCAGACCCAGGAACCAGTTACTCTACCCTGGTCTCCCATATGGGTGGCAAGGGCCCAAGTATTTGGGCTATCGTCCAATGCCTTCCCAGGTGCATTAACAAGAAATTGGAGCAGAAGTGGAGTAGCCAGGACTTAACTGGCACTCTGATATGGGATGCCCACATCCCAAACAGCAGCTTAACCCTCTGTAACGTAATGCAGGGACCCCAGCAGACATTCTTGAGACAGAGACCTGAATTGAGTTCCTGGTTCCCAGCCTCCAGCCCTCAGCTATTGCAGACATCTGGGGAGTGAACCAGTAAATAGCACTCTGTCCCTCAAAATAAATAAATAAATAAATAAAACAGAAAATCAAAGTTTTGAAAACTAGTCAAACCACTAGTTAACCGTACCATCAATGCCTTTAAAAAAATTATTTGAAAGGTAGAGTTACAGAGAGGCAAAGGCAGAGAGAGAGAGAGAGAGAGAGAGAGGTCTTTCATCCACTGGTCACTCCCCAGATGGGTACAACGGCCAGAGCTACACTGATTCCAAGCCAGGAGCTTCTTCTGGGTCTCCCACACAGGCGCAGGGGCCCAAGGACTTGGGCCATCTTCTACTGCTTTCTCAGGCCACAGCAGAGAGCTGGATTGGAAGTGAAGCAGCCAGGACTCGAACCAGTACCAATATGGGATGCTAGCGCTGCTGACTGGGGTTTTAATCTGCTGCACCAAAGTGCCAGCCCCAATGCCTTCTAATTTGTCGTTTATTGGTCACTTCTAGACAAGCAAATTAACAAGGAAATGAAGACACAGGCAAATATGTGGAGCACCAGATACATGTAATGACAAAAGTTTTCTTGGATGAGTCATGTGAAAAGTCAGTTACCTCAAATGTCTGTCCTTCTAAGTCCTTTGCATCACACCAGTTTCCCCATGGGTCTCGGACCCTACGCCTTCTTGTGCGCTGTAATAAGCAAAAGGGAATGAGATCAACTTGGAAAAACCACAGCACATTAGCATATAAAATAAAAATGATAATCACCTCAAAATCAATTAATTTAGCCATTTAAATATGGTCATCTCTGCTTAGCAATGCCTGAATAAATTTTATTGATGCTCAATAATCAGCACTCTGTTTGCCACCACAGATGGCAAACTAAGGAAAGGAACAACAGTGGACAGGGTGTAAGCTGGGTGGTATCAGCTGGAGGCCATTAAAAAAAATCAGTGATGATTTTCTGTATTTTACTTGTATTTCATGTCATTAAATTTTCATTTCTTTTCACACTTAGGAGCTAAAAAAAAAAAAACTAGGAATAAAAATATTTTAAAACCAGAAAGAACCAGTCTTACGAAAATAACTTCTTTTTCAATCACCTGTGGTAGAAAAACTACAAGGACACAAAGCAAAGGGCAGGGGACTGGCACAGAGCTAAGATGCCACTTGCAATGCCTGCGTCCCGTGTCAGAGGGCCTAGGTCTGAGTCCCAGCTCTGCTCCTGATTTCAGTTTCCTGCTAATGTATATCCTGGAGAGCAGCAGGTGATGGCCCTAGTGACTGGTTTTCTGCCTCCCATGTGGGAGATGTGGATTGATTTCCTAGCTCCTGGCTTTCCCCTGGCCCAGTGTCAGCTCTTAAAGGCATTTGAGGAGTAGAAACTGGATGGGACAGCTCAGTCTGCCTCTCAAATATAATAAAAAGAAAGAAAGAAACAAATAAACCAACAAAAACAGAAAGCAAGAGGTATAATATTGAAAACTAAAAGCAAAAGATATTCCAGCTTTAGAAAGGAGATTATCCAGTTTATATTAATAGTGAAAACTACAAAACTGGTTAGCTGCATCACTAACTTGCAGTTTTGCAAGCCTCAGCACTGAAGCCTTTATAATGTATCAGCTGCCAGGGATAGCACTTAATACAGTGCAATCTCCAGTACCTCTATTTGAAAGATCCTTTCTTCTTCTTTTAAATATTTATCTATCTATTTTGAAAGTCAGAGTTACAGAGAGAGCATGGGAAAAAGCAAAATCTTCCATTTGCTGGTTCACTCCCCAGATGGCCACAAAGGCCAGCTCTGAGCCAGGCTGATGCCAGGAGCCAGCTCATCTGCAGCTCCCATGTAGGTAGCAGGGGCTTACACACCTGAGTCGTCTTCCACTGCTCTTCCTAGACACATTAGCAGGGAGCTATATCAAAAGTGGAGCAGCCAGGGCGCAAACACACCATGTGCAATGCCAGTGTCCCAGGTGATGGCTTTACTTGCTACGCCACAATGCAGCCCTAAAATATCCTTTCCTGGAGACCGAAAATCTAGGTAGAATTGGCTTATAGCCTAAATACTCTGAGAAAAATAGTTTCTGTATCACCAATACTTTTCTCTCATTCCCCATTACTAATTCAACCTACCAATGAAACTAACAAGATCATATTGCTTTTTTTTAAATGAGAAAGTCTGTCAATTAATTTTTTTAAATTAATTTGTCTGCAAGAGTTACAGCCAGTGAGAGGGAGAGACACAGAGAAAGGTCTTTCATCTGCTGGTTCACTCCCCAAATGGCTGCAACAGCTAAAGCTGGGCCAATCTGAAGTTAGGAGCCAAGAGCTTCTTCCGGGTCTCCCACACAGGTACAGGAGCCCAAGTACTTGGGCCATCTTCTACTGCTTTCCCAGGCCATAGCAGAGAGTTGGATTGGAAGAAGAGCAGCCAGGACTCAAACCGGTGTCCATATGGGATGCCAGCGCCGCATGCAGAGGTACTGTTAACCAACTGTGCCATGGCGCTGGCCCCCCACAAGATCATATTATGACTCTGCCTTATAGACTTATCAGATTATTTTTTTAACATAAGATTCCTGAAATTCAAAAATATACTATTAGAAAACTCACTGACTCCAAATATTAAAAAACAGGGCCAGTCATTCCAAAAAGCTGAATCTCAGGTAAGAATGTTCAAACAATAAACAAAAATAACAGAAAAAAAAGAACTAACCTGTAATAGTTTAGAAAAACACATTGGATTTATAAATCAAAACCAAGCAGTCCAGAATCCCTTTAGCAAAACATTATGCTTCTACATAAACTTTGCCACTGAATTTTGATTTTGCTTCATAAACCAACATGAGATTGAATGGAGGCCCAAAAAGTGAATGGCTAAGGTGAAATGCAAAGAAACAGGTACTTTGGTGAAACTGCCATTAGTTATGCAGCCAGAGCAGTAGGTGTAGCTTATTGCTGGGTAAAGAGCAATGCAGGGAGGTCATTTTGTGAGAGAAATGACTACTTACCATAGACTGCAGACGCTGGGCAAGTTGGTACGCTTCTACAGTATCTTTTCTGTCTCTGATTCGCACTTTATCAACTGGTTGTGGCCTATTATATACAGCCTGTTCTATTGGAATTTAGGAAAGACAAAACAACCTATTATTTCTGAAATTCCTTATTAAATAGGAAGAGATCTACACAGGCTATAGCTGGTCATCTGTCTATGGTTTTATCTTAGTCTACAATGACACATTTGACGTGCTACTTGGCAGTTCTCAAATAACAGTAGAGTTATTAACAAAAGCAAATCTCAGTAAAGTGGAATTATTTAGGAAATGGGTAACTTATTGAATTCTGATTAAATAAACACTAAGCCCACTTTGCTAATTTTAGCAGTCTAATACAAAAAACATGATTTCATTTTTCTTTTAGTGGCTGAGGAAGCTAATAATGCCTAACTTTCCTGAAAAGTTTAGTCTCGTTATTCATGGCTTTGGGAAATCAAAGACTTTGAAATAAAGGGCAGCCTGTAAATTCTATCACCTCTATAGAAAATGAAATCATCTGTGATGGGATGCTTCCTGGTTTGTTGTGTCACTTTCACACAAAGAATACAGAATCTACTCTTTTTAAACCATGGGTTATAAGGTTCTAAGTACCCTATCACTTTGCAGTTACAGCTGTTAGCTTTGTTTAGAAGCTTGTGTCAAGGTAACTCAATAAAAGGATAGAATACATTTTAAAATATGCATATTCATTAACGTTAAAACTAAAAAAAAGAAAAAACTAGAGTGAAAGAACTTTCTTCCATGAAAACCATTTTGATGTTTTTAATATAATATAGGCTCACAAACTATTTTTTTCTAAACACTGCTACACAGCATTGCAAACACCAATACACCATCTGCCAATTAAATGAGCTCCTGTTAAAATTTTTTTTCATAAAGTAATTTTACTTTGACCTGGCAAGGAATTGTATTCTTAAATTATTTCTATGACTTAGTTTGAACATTTTTCCTTCAAATTTATGCCCTCAATTTTCATTATAGGTCAAAGGGAAACAATTAAACAAAGGTCTATTTTTAATCAAAATCTTCATAACACAATTATTCCTTAATGTTATACATCTCTCTGAATTCTATATATCCAAATCTACTTGAATTCTAACCATCATAGAAATTCATGGGTGCTGTAAGTATAAAAGAATGTTGAGTAAAAGATGTTGTTGGGTTTTTATTTTTACCACATCCAAAATTGATTGCTCCTATCAATTCGAGGTATGTATGAATCCGTCCAATACAATTAACATCCCCACAGTTCTTCAGGCCAGGACGTACTGAGGTCTTATTTAAGTATTTCGGTTTGCATATCTCCCTAATTAAGAGATGGAAGTACAATTATTTTGGATAAATTAAAACATGAAAAAGATTCCTGGGAAAACTTTTAATATTTGAAATATCTTAAAATTTTACCCCTTTAATGTGTAAATGTGTAGTAAATACAATACTAACACATAATATGCAAATATACTTTTTCTGAAATATTTTTAAATGATGCAATAATTTCTAAACACCTGCATATTTTTATAAGTATTTGTCCCCAATATTAAATTTAATAGATTCCAGTTATCCTAGGACTTTAATTTAGAAGCTTCTGTATGCACAGATGCAAACTCAAGTCTTAATCTTTAACTAAAAAGGTAACTTCATTAATATGTTAAAAAAATTTAGTAATAAGACTTTTCCAGTGTTTAATACATTACTGAGCTCCCTCTACTCTCACTTTGCTTGACAATGTATTTTAATTATCAGCTATCTTATAAATGCTTAAACGTTTTACACTTTAAATCATGATTCCAAAAATTATTTACTGCTTATGCTCAATGGAAAAAAGAAATTGATATAGGAAGTTCCAAAGGAATCAAGAAATTCCCAAAGACTATGAAAGAAACATGAGGCTTATATTATAATAAAACACATATTGATTGAATATACTTAATGTGCCATGCTAGATGGCACAATAAAATATTTAAGAGTAACAGAGAACTTAATAGTAGTAGAAATCAATTACTGAGTGCTTATACTAGATGCTGAAATGTGAATTATACATTTTCATCTTCATAGCTCTACAAGGTGGATTTTATTAATTTGAATTTTAGAAATGAGGAAACAAAAGGGTCAAGTAATTAAAGCAATTGAAGAGTGACAAATTCAGAATTTAAGTACAAATATTATAGGTTTCAATGTATGTCACATAATATAGATATTTCTCATTCAGTCATTTTATTCTAAAAATACCTTTTTTGCTTCCTACACACTAGGCATTTTTCTAGGCACTAGAGATATAAAGATGAACAACATAATGTTCTGACCCCACAGACCTTATATGCCAATGGGGAAGACTATCCGTACATCAATAAATGCATATTATGTTGTCAGGCAGCAATAGTATTAAGAAGGAAGAGGATAATGGAACACAGTGTAACAAACAGGCACAGACTATTTTAGATAGGGTATTTAGGGGAGGCCTCTCTAAGCAGAGATCAGATATAAAATCATCAATTCTAGAGAAGTTTCTGGGAAGGTAGTCAAGTTAGAAGGGATACGGAAGAGTATCATAACCTCCATAGAGAAGTTGAAATTTCAATGTGTCTTGAAAGTAAGAAACAAATGGTACAACAAAGCCAGGAAAGAAGAAGGATACTAAAAAACTGTAGGAGTCTGAAAACTGGATTGATCTAATTAAAATTACTCAAATCAAAAGGCTTCAAAGAGAACTCAGTAATCTTAGCATAGCGCTGAACTCAGGACTCTTAAAAAGGTATGTGTTCATGAAATAGTAAATACAGGTTTAATTTTTCCCTCCTAACAAAATGAATGTTTGCGTATTTCAAGCATTGTTCAAAGCACTAGATATTTAACAATGAACAAAACAAACAATAAGCCTTTGTGTTACCTATATTATCATCACAGTGGGGAGGACACAAGACACAAAAAATACAGTATTTGGGTGGTGATAATTTCTATGGCTGAGAACAAAGAATGAGAGGGAGGAGACAGGTGAGCTATTTTAGATAGGGTGGTCAAGGAAAGGCTCTTTCCTTTGAGCAGATCTGAAGGAGATAAGGAAACCAGACTCGCCAAGAAATGGGGGGAAAAGAGCATCCACAATAGTGAAAAGCCAGGACCACGGCCCTGAGTTGAATATGAAAACAATGAGTCCAGGCTGCAGACTCTGAAACTACTTTTACCTAGTGTGACCTGGAACAAGTTTCTAATCCTCTGTGGACCTCATTTTTCTCATCTGTAAAATGTGGACAGAGTTGTCAAAAGGAAATACAATACATGGCATTTGGTAGATATTCAATCATGGTATTGTTACTTATTTTTTTTTTTTTTAATTTCCTTACGCAGTGAGTCACCAGCATTTGCTTTTATCTGCAAACAAATCTGACAGGTAGCACTTTATTTTTAAAACTTTAACTGTCTTTTTTTTTAAAGACGACCTCCAGTCACTAACCATTTTCTATTCTTTTTCTGAAGAGAACAGATTTTAGTTACAGTTCAAAACATTTATTTTAGGGACTAGTACTGTGGTGTAGTAGGTTAAGCCTCTGGCTGTGGCACTGGCATCCCATATGGGCGCTAGTTCATGTCCTGGCTGCTACTTTGATCCAGCTCTCTGCTTATGGTCTGGGAAGGCAGATGGTCCAAATGTTTGGGCTCCTACAACCGTGTGGAGACCTGGAAGAAGCTCCTGGCTCTGGACTGGCCCAGCTTCAGCCGTTGCAGCCATTTGGGGAGTGAACCAGTAGATGGAAGACCTCTACCTCTGTGTCTCCCTCTCTCTGTCTGTAACTCTGCCTCTCAAATAAATAAATAAATAAATCTTTAAAAACAAACAAAAAAGAAGCCGGCGCCGCAGCTCAATAGGCTAATCCTCCACCGGTACACCAGGTTCTAGTCCCAGTCGGGGTGCCAGATTCTGTCCCGGTTGCCCCTCTTCCAGGCCAGCTCTCTGCTGTGGCCCGGGAAGGCAGTGGAGGATGGCCCAAGTCCTTGGGCCCTGCACCCGCATGGGAGACCAGGAGAAGCACCTGGCTCCTGGCTTCGGATCAGCACGGTGCTCCAGCTGTAGTGTGCCAGCCGTGGCGGCCATTGGAGGGTGAACCAACGGCAAAGGAAGACCTTTCTCTCTGTCTCTCTCTCTCACTGTCCACTCTGGCTAACAAAACAAAACAAAACAAACAAACAAAAAAACATTTATTTTCAGCCTTCACACCATTTTCCTAAATCATCATGTTTAAATAGCAGTATCTATTGGTTTCATCAACTAAAACAAATAGTTTAGGAAACTACTGCCATATAATTTGCAGTATCTATGCAAATTATTCTGCCTTACTTGATTATAGTCAAGACTTGAAATGAAGTCTTTCAGGAGTCAGTGGCTGGTTAAGTCCCTTTCACTATGTCAGAGGACTGCTGTGAGGCCTATACAGCAAATAAGAACAGAGAGCAAGTCTTTCTTTAAGCAGCTAAGTACCATGTAAATGACAGTTGTTCCTTGTCAGCATTCTTTACTATGCTGCCTCCTTACCCAGAAGTTGTTTTGGCATGTCAAGCATCTGCAAGATAACCATGTATCAAGAACAAGAACAAAAATCCTCCTTTTAGAATACTGCTACCTTTAAAAACCTAATGACTTAATATTATGTGGGCAAAATGAAGGCTATTGATTTGGCACATTATTAAGTTTCCTTTATGTAACCTTCCAAAGCTATAGCAGAAAGTTACTGCAAAGGAGAGGAAGACAGAACAAAAGAGAAAAACAAGGGACAAAGCAGAATCCCTACTCAAGGAACTGGGAAGCCCTCTCTAAAAATGGCCCTATATGATTCAACAGTTCATGAACTAGTAGTAGCAATTATGAGTGTTTAATGATGGCTTAATTAAGATGTCAAGATTACTTCAAATTACTTTTATCAGGTTAACGAGGTAAGAAGTTTTTTGGTTTGCTCCCTAGGCCCACTAAATAGTTCAAGTAAAATGTATTAACAATTTAGAGGGTAAATTTCACATATTAGAAAATTCCTGGACCTTGATGAAGCTGGATGAAGAAATTATTAGCATATTCCACCACAAGTTTAAAGCTGAAGGCATTTAAGACAGCTGTTCAGGTGGAGTTTCTGCAAAGAGGCCACATTTAATGATACCATCCTCTGTCACCAAATCTTTCCTTCTTTGCACTTAAAGTACATGATAAATCCCAAAAAGAAAAATTCTCTCCTATTCCCAGTACAGTAGTGTTCTACATCTGCATTATTTCTGTCCCAAGGAATTGCTTCTTGAAGCAGTTATTCATCCCTTTTCTTTCCAAGCACAAACACTCAGATGAACAGACAGATGGTATTGTGACAGCTATACATGACCAAAGCTTTCAAAAAAGTTTCACTGTGAGAAAGTTAAATTTTTCCTACTGAAATGCTGTTATGTGAAAACACTCTTATTGCCACCAAAATTCTAAATTCTGCATAGGCCTAACTAAAACACTTAAAGAGTATCAGGTTTTTAAAAAGGCATCTAAAATGTAATTTTTTCTTACCACTGATCCAAAATGTAATTTCTAATTTTCAAATAGCGTTCTGGTGTTTTAGCTTGACGCCCCTCAAAAAACTCAGGAATTGCTTGTTTTTCTTCTTCTTGAATGGTATTTCTATCTATTTCTACTTCTTGTTCTGGTGGCTTAAGCTCTTCTTCCTCGTGGCTTTCTTCCACAACATGACAAGAAGAATGAAAAAGCATTTCATTGTCACTCAAATCTTTATTTTCACAAGTCTCAAGAGAAGGCCACTGACTCGCATCATCTATCAGTCCATTTCCATCATGCCCGTTATAGTTCTGAATTGGTTTATTACATTTCTCATCTTTTAATTCAACTGATTTTTTGTCATTGTTGCTCGGTTTGTCAGTCTGTAATGTAATCTGTGAGCCTGAAAGTGTTTCCATTTCATCTTGCTTTAGATTCTTAAGATATTCCCCGGAAGATTTAAAAAAGGGGTCTTCCTGGCTATCAGATGCAATGCATTCTCCTTGATTGGTTTCATGCATACTACTACTACTAGGAATAATGTCTAATAAGAGACCACTGTTAGAATTCTTCTGGGGTGCTTCAGAAGTGAATTCATCCACCTCGTCTGTGATGTCTACTTCTTCATCATCAGACAATTTTTCAATTTTTACAGCATTCAAGTTGGGATCAGCATGTCCCCTTAAACATGATGGTATCCATGCCTCTGTCCCTTTGTCTTCACTTTTAACTTGAAGATCACTGCTACTTTTCTGATTTGGTGTTTCTTTCTCCGGACCCCATTTTACCTTATTAAAAAAAATCAGAATAAAACCTCCATAATATTAAGATTTTAAAATTTAATCACTGACACAATAAATACAATAATATACAATAATATAATTCAAGTGAGTGCATGTTAATGATACATTATACTTTTATTCTGCTTCTCTTGGATTTATAACTGTAGTTTTAATGTAAAAGATCACATTTTAAATTTCCTTAGATATATGATTAATTCATAATGTGGTGATTTCTATTAATCAAATAACCATGGTCTATATAGAACTACCATTTATTTGTCAATATTAAGTTTAAAATACGTGTCTGGCTTAGACCAATCACAATCAACCTGTAACTGTCATACTAAGAAGTTCTACAAGATATTAAAATATTTATAAAAGCTCTTTTCTTAAATGTCTAATATCTCAGCTGACTGTTTCTTTAAAGCTTTTTCTTAAAAGAATCTATCACATTTATCTCACTTATCCTACTTAGTAAATTAAAACCATCTGTCATTTATTTTATTTATTTTTTTTTTGACAGGCAGGGTGGACAGTGAGAGAGAGAGAGAGAGAGAGAGAGAGAGAGAAAGGTCTTCCTTTTCCATTGGTTCACCCCACAATGGCCGCTGCGGCCGGCGCACTGCGCTGATCCGAAGCCAGGAGCCAGGTGCTTCTCCTGTTGTTCTCCCATGCCGGTGCAGTGCCCAAGGACTTGGGCCATCCTCCACTGCACTCCCGGGCCACAGCAGAGAGCTGGACTGGAAGAGGGACAACCGGGACAGAATCTGGTGCCCCAACCGGGAACTGGAACCCAGTGTGCTGACACCACAGGTGGAGGTTAGCCTATTGAGCCAAGGTGCCGGCCTATCTTTCATTTAGATACAGTAACAAAAAAACAGTTTTTTGTACGTTCATTTAATGCAGCTCCAATATTATAGCACTTACATTTTAAGTCATGCAATTACTTTCCATATCAGCTATACAGACATAGCTATCTGATAATACAACACAAGAATGATAATAAAAGTCAATGAGTAGGTACTGGCACTGTGGTGTAGCAGGTAAAGCTGCCATCTGCAACACAGCATATCCCACAGCACGCAGGTTCGAGTGCCGGCTGCTCTACTTCCGATCCAGCAATTTGTGAATGGTCTAGGAAAAGCAGCAGCAGATGACCCAAGTGTTTGGGCCCCTGCTACCCATGTGAGAGACCTGGATGTAGATCCTGGCTCCTGGCTTTGGCCTGGCCCAGCTCTGGCAGTTGCAGCCATCTGGGGAGTGAACCAGCAGATGGAAGATCTCTCTCACTCTCTCTCTATAACTCTTAATAAGTAAAAAAATCTTAAAAAAAAAAAAAAGGCAATGATTAAATATGACTTGAAATAAAAAATCCTTACATAGAAAGTTTTTGAAAAATTTTGTAAATGATTGCTATACCCAAGGGATATAACAACTTTCAGAAAGACTATTTCTAGACCTAATATCACGTCAGCATTCTAGGATTAAATATTTGGTGTTAATTGGCTTACTACGTAGAAAAAAAAAAAGAATAGCAGGAAGGAAAACAAGATTTGGACATACAAGCTGAAATATTCTCTAGCAACCTTGCTATTTATTTGGTCCCGTTTTTAATCTTAAAAATTCAGATATTTTGGATTAGATTTTATAACATACTAATCATTCTAATATTGAAATGTATCTTTCTACCACAGTCTTTCAGTAAAACTGACACTCCAAGATAAACTAAATATTGCAGTTTGAAAAGCTTGCAGGTAGAATAACCACCACATTAAGCTTTATTCTTCTTAATACCTCAACCTTAGCAAGCTGCCCCAACAGTACTTTTGTTTAAGAGGAAGTGGATGATTTATGTACAACGAATATATTCTATCACTTTCTGCCCATGCCAGTTAACACTAAGAGAAATCTTGTATACAGGGTACAGTCTACTAGCCACACTGAAAGAAAACATCAAATTTCACTTATAATATTTTCAAATTTTATATAATTATGTTCTTAGAGCAGAATATATTTAAAAATTCCAACTATCAAAATCACATAGTTGGGGCTGGTGGTACGATACATGGGGTAAAGCTACCTCCTGCAACGCTGGACTCCCATTTGGGCGCGAGTTTGTGTCCCAGCTGCTTTACTTTCAATCCAGCTCCCTGCTACTGGCCTGTGAAAAGCAGCAGAAGATGACTCAAGTGTTTGGGTCGCTGCCATCCAGGTTGGAAACCTGAAAGAAGCTCCTAGCTCCTATCTTCAGCCTGGCCTAGCCCTGGCGGTTGCGGCCAGCTGGGGAGTTTGACAGTGGATGGAAGACCTCTCGTAAGTCTTTTTTTTTCAACTTCTATTTAATAAATATAAATTTCCAAAGTACAACTTCTGAATTATAGCAGCTTTTCCCTCCAACCTCCCTTCCACCTGCAACCATCCACTTCCTGTCCCATCCCATTCTTCATCAAAATTCATTTTCAATTACCTTTATACATAAGATCAACTTAGTATATACTAAGTAAAGATTTCAACAGACTGCACCCACACAGACACACCAAGTATAGAGTACTGTTTGAGTAGTAGTTTTACCATTAATTCACATAGTACAGCACATTAAGGACAGAGATCCTACATGGGGAGTAGGTGCACAGTGACTCCCGTTGTTGATTTAACAATTGACACTCTTATTTATGATGTCAGTAATCACCCAAGGCTCTTGTCATCAACCGCATGGTTGATACTGAAAAAATAAGAAACTAGAAAAAACTGCACTTTTGTGAATCCTGTAATTTATTAAAATTTTCAATTTTTCAACACTATAAGAATTTCATTGTTACTTAACAGACTTCAAAAATCATGTTAGCATTAATGTTCCCAAAGTTCTAATTCTATTTTGCTGTATGACATTAATAACACTATTAATAAAGACATGCTCTAAAGTTTAAATAAATATTCATATAGTAGTTTACGGATATCAAACCCTTTCCGTATAAAAACTTTAAACAATAAAACTTTAATGCCTAAATTAAAGAAACATTTCTGCTTATTAATTTGCTCATTCTAAATGTATCATTAATAACAAGGATATTTATATTCTGCTTACCTTATTTTTAAAGTATTGTCTGGCATAACTCTTCACTTGTAAAACAGTGCGGCTTCCAATTAACTTTGCAATTTTGGTCCACCTTCGGCCAAATTTAGTCTATGTTATCAAAATGGAAGAAAATTACCTTTGATTAACTAATATAAGCAATTGCCACATTTAAAAACAATCAACTGAAATAATAATCCATCTTTATTTTCTGAAGTACAAATGAGGACTCCTACAATGTTCTTAAAATCAAAGTCCACATTCTTCTTTTGCAAACTTAAACTTCTGAAAATCAACTGAAGAAATTTAGAAATTCGTTTTATTATATAGCTATTCAAATAAAGATCCATCACTCTACTACCTAACTATGAATTTATATTGCATATTATGATGTTTTAAATTAAAGGTAACATCTTAAAAGATCTAAGCTACTAAAGGGAGGCAGGTTATGTTTTTCCAATTACAGGATCAACTAAACGTCCTCTGCACTAATTTCAAAGTAATATCCTACCCATATCCATTATGTGCCCCATAGCAATTAGCTTTATATGCTATGCATGTATCACAGACTATATATCCACATTTATATCTATATCACTCTATACAGGTGAACTGACTTGTGAGATCAAATCATAAAAGAAGCAGACATACCACCAACACCTCTCTATACCTCTCTAATGTCAGAGGCTGTGCACCACCTAAACTGAAGCTATAGTGAGAAAATACTGAGAACAGAGAGCTAGATAAAGCGCCCATGTTATTCTGAAGTATACAAAGGAACACACAGAATTTTAGAAAGGGCTAACTATACAAAACCTCTACAAAATCCCTAATACATACTACTCTGCCTCCCATGACAGGTCAATAACTCTTTAATTTTAATTTTTTGGAATTTTGAAAACTGTGAAAAACAAAAATGTAGTCACAACTCAGGGAAGCTGACCCTAGAGTCAGACTTACAAGTCAGGTAATCAATCATGCATGATGGTAGCAAATTATCTTTGAAGATCAAAGCCAAATGATAAACCATAATTTATATGCTTATTTCTGAAATTTACCAGAAAATCTAACATATAAATAATTTCTTAAAACTCAAAGTACTTCTGTGAAAATTATTAGTAAGTATAAATTATTTAAGATTTCTCTTAAGCAACATCTAGCTGAGATCAAATTACTGAAGAATTATTATTTTTACTGGGGGATGAAGACAAACAGGTAACTTGGTAGCATAGAGCATTTCTGGAGACAGAAGAGATCTGAATAAAGAGTGATCAATTTATCAGCGCGGTGTGCCGGCTGCGGCGGCCATTGGAGGATGAACCAACGGCAAAGGAAGACCTTTCTCTCTGTCTCTCTCTCTCACTGTCCACTCTGCCTGTCAAAAAAAGAAAAAGAAAAAAAAGAGTGATCAATTTAGATACTAGGGGCTTGGGCACTAAAAAAATTAGGGCAGAGACTTTAAAAAGAGGAGCAAAGAAAATACTGGCTAATTTCAAAATCGAGCAAAGGGATAGTCCTATGCCCAAGAAAGGAAGGAAACATCTTCCCCCATCAGCCAGAATCATGTAATTTTCTCTTCCAAGCCTATAAACAAATAGCAATATGCTTTAGAATGCTGGAGATATAACCAATAATTCCATGTTTTTTACGTAAAAAAATTCTAAGTTTAAATATTTCTTAATGTATAAGGCAACTTTCTACAAGTCTCTATATAAATAAATACACATTTGTTTAAAAATGGAGAAAATATCTCTAGAAGGTCACACACAGAAGAGATGACAATGGCTACCTCAAACAAGAACTGCTGACTGAGATGAGTGAGACTTAACACTCTCTAACTGTAGGTACCTTTTGAATTCTGAACCTTGCAAATGTAGTCTCAATAACTACCACCAATGGCAACAACAGCAGTCTCAAAATGGAACTTAAATTCACAACCTATTTGCATACATACTGTAAGAAAATGTCTAGTGGCCCATTTTCAACACAGAATGGAAAATTACTATTAGCTGACTTGCTGATGTAGCAAAACAAACTGGGCAAACAGGATGTTATGGAGTAGGCAACTCAGGAGAGGAAATTAAAGTACAGAGAAGGAAGGATGAAGGTAACTTTGTAAGTTAGGTGACATCTGGAAAGATTGTACACCCCACAGTACTCAGCCAATGTGGAACAGGAGGGACCTCCATCGTAGGATACAAATTGCTTGCTCTAACTTCTCCAGGTGTGCCTGCTCTTCAGACACCTGATCTTGCAAGACGGATAATATAATACAATCTTATTTTCACTGCACTTCCTGAGTCCAAGTCCATCTTTTGAATGGACAGGTAAGAATGTTTCCCACAAACTTTGGGACTTGTGTGGGATTTCTATGCCTGCATGGGACTCCGACACAGTGGGAGATGCATCCCACATGATTTTGGGTGACCTGCTCTGTCTGGGTGTCCTGTAACCCCGTAGAAGCCACAGAAAAGCTCAACTGTCATTCAGAAGACAGTACAGGTAACACAGAAGAGAAAAAGCAAGCACTGTGGCAACCAGGCAACCTGTACATGAGCTAAGGTAAGAAAAATTAGACTGTAAGTGTTGCCATGGTAGTTGTGTATCTTTGGAAGTCAAGAGTGTATGACTGAGGCCGGCGCCGCGGCTCACTAGGCTAATCCTCTGCCTGCGGCGCCAGCACACCGGGTTCTAGTCCCAGTTGGGGCGCCGGATTCTGTCCCGGTTGCTCCTCTTCCAGTCCAGCCCTCTGCTGTGGCCCGGGAGTGCAGTGGAGGATGGCCCAAGTCCTTGGGCACTGCACCGGCATGGGAGAACAACAGGAGAAGCACCTGGCTCCTGGCTTTGGATCAGCGTGGTGCACCAACCACAGCGGCCATTGTGGGGTGAACCAACGGAAAAGGAAGACCTTACTCTCTGTCTCTCTCTCATTGTCCATTCTGCCTGTCCAAAAAAAAAAAAAAGAGTGTATGACTAAGATATAGCCTAGATATGGGGGAAGTGTTTCATTCTTACATGAGAGAAATGACAGGAGATGGATAATCTGGTCTTGGGGTCTGCAAGCCTCCACTATGGGGGGTTGAGCTCAAAGGAAAACTTGGGTGGTGTGCAACAAATCTCTATTACGGGAGACTGCATGCATTGGGGAGCATGTTGGAGTCCTGGGGAATGCAGGGTGTCATCATACACCTGATCTTGCAAGACCAATCACAAAGTCTTGCTTTTACTGCACTTCCTGAGTCCAAGTCCATCTCTTGAGGAGACAAGGGAGGATATTGCCCACAAGTATGCATATACATGTCTTTGACAAAGGCAAGACACCAAAATTGTTAGTAATCTTAAATGAGTGGTTAATTAGAAATGATAATCATGCAATAATCTATATCATCAATAGATACCAATATAAAAACGCTGCCAGAATAGAAAAAAACCTCCAAGACATAAAACCTTCAAGACAGTTAATATAAAAGAACATCATATAGAGGGTCATGGTGCTGACTAGAAAAACACACATTTTACATCCCTTTATTTATAGAAATGCTAACAATGATACTTCGATCAGTATTCATGAATCTTATGTGTTACACAAATATTCTATACATAATATATAAATATACATAATTTCAAATTAACTAGTACAATATTGGGTAACATGGACCTTAAAGGAAAATATATCACCTACTCAAGATAGTAAAAATAAAAGTATAAAAAAATAAATTTCTGAATGTTTTCTTAAAGGTTCTTAATATTAATGAGTATTATCAGAATCAGACACCAGTGTATACATAACAAAATATGCACTTTTTCCATTATGTAACCTACTGTAAATACTTTAATAGGTCTCAGTGATACATTACAGCAAAAAATGTTTCTGCTATACTTAGACTGTGTACACTAATGCTAAAAACCTAAATTCAGCTTGGAGCTGGTGCTGTGGTGCAGCAGGATAAGCCAGCACCTATGACTCTGGCATCCCACATTGTTCACATCCCAGCTGCTCCACTTCTAATCCAGCTCCCTGCTGATGTATTTGGGAAAGCAGTGGTTAATGGCCCAAGTACTTGGGTCACTGCCACCCATGAGGGAGACCCAGATAGAATCCTGGGGCCTTGGTTTTGGCCTGGTCCAGATCTGGCTGTTGCGGCATTTGGGAAGTGAACCAGAGAATGGAAGATCTGTCTGTCTCTCCCTCTCTGTGTCACTCTTTCAAAAAAATCTTTTAAAAATGTAGACAATTAACTCAGTTTCAAATATTTACATTTTGACTTGAGAGAAAACATCTGAGAAACAAATTTCTCTTTTATCCAGGTAGTTGGTGTCATATAATACAATTTAGTTAATTTCTTGGGTTAATACCAGAACAAGTATGAAAACTAAAAAAGATTTGTTCAACTGTATTTTTATACCTGGATATTGAAAGAAATTCCTTAGTACTACACTAGAAATATCATTAATATAACTACAGAAAAACTAAAGGAGTAATAACTGTAATTAAACAGAAAATTCTGGTGGCTACAAATTTAATCTTGTAACTCTATCAATATTTTCTTCTAGAATTATTTAACTATAAATTAAAAATTGCTCTATTTACCAGCCCTTGTTCAAACAGCTCTTTTTCTTCTATCGTCCACTTTACTGAGTAACTGGCTGGTTTAGTAGGAGAGTGTACCCTGAAGGGAAAAAAAGGAATTGCAAAAAAATTTCTGAAATGGAACATTCCTTATTTATGCAGCTAAAGGTTATAGATAGCCATGGGCTAAATAAATTCAATATTTTGAGTCTTAAGAATTAAAAAACAGAAACAGAAAAAAAAAGAAGGCCACAGCCTCTACCTGGGGGAAGAAGTTTACCCTGTCAGGTATCTCTAGCTCAGGATGATAGGAGGCCCAAAAGACATAATCCTTGGGTCTGAGTGAGGATAATACAAAAAGACATCAAAGGAAGTCAAGGTGATAACCAACAAATAGGCTTCCTTAGACTGGACACAAAGCACAAGCATTAATACATTCCTAAATCCCACAAGGCATGTACAAGTTTAAATTGGTTCTGGAAGTATTTTTTTTGGTTTTTCCATAAAAGCCCATGTAAAAATTGAGCCAGAAAAGCAGTCGCAAAACTATGGTACTACATTTATTGATTTTAAAATCAGAATCTTAAGAAATTCAAGCTCATTTATTTAAGCAAGAAATTAATCTTTCCATCAACTTCATCTTGCTGTTTATTCACTAAAATAAAAAAGCCAAAGGTTGCTCAGTCCTCAATTTGTTGGGAAACTACAAATAGGTAAATCCACCTTTATAAGGTACCATAAATTTGCAAGTTTATAAATGCTAAAGAATGTCAGCTTTTTTCTCAATTATAGCGAAAGGGTACTTATAAAATGGTGAATTTCTATAGATAATTTTGAAAGCCACAGATTGAAATTAAATTTTTGTTGAAAATTAACTGACAAAGCAATAGAAATCAATTCCTAATATATTAGATAGCTTCTTCCCCATAAACCTCTAGGAAACCATCTTTTCCATAATCTGATGTAAGTGACTACATGGACCATGAAAAGAAAATCTGGCAAAAAAAGAACATAAAAAAATTAGTCTTGTGACATTCCAACATCTGTACAAAACTTGTTTTCATAGTTATGACTTTGTATAACTCAAGGGCCAAGATGGATTTTCCATGGGCCAACCTTAACTTTTTTATTCTCCCATAATTTTTAACTAATCAAAAAGTTTAAAAAATATAAAATATACATACATGATTTTTGCTGTTTTCTGTAGACTGCACCACATGAAAAAAGAAAATAAGGCAGCTTATGAAGAAGTTCCTAAAAATACAATTTACATTTTAAAGACTTTACAAATAGATTTTACCTCTTTATGTATTTTTTATTATCCTCCTTCTGATCAAGCCACAATTTTTCTGGAAGCGATTTTTTAGATAGATAATACCTGTGTAATTATTAAGGAAGCTTTTAAAGCAATATTAAAGCCATGTAACTTTTATGTGATTATATAAAATAAGCATTCATAGACTCATGGAAGTCACACTTGAATTCAAGCTAAACCAATTCTTCTCAAAGAATAGAACTATTTATACCTCTCTGGTAAATTCACTACATGTGAAATCATATAACAGTGCTTACATAAAATGTGCACTACATAAATGTTAGCTTCTCTTCTATTAGAAATGGGTAAGAGAAGACATATATTCAATGTTGAAATCTTTTTATTCTAAACTATGAAAAACATAATAGATAAATATGATTGGTTGTTCAAGGTAATTCTGGAGTACATTTCCATATTTCTTCAGGTTTGCGGGTGAGGGCTGGGAGGTGCGGTGAGGAGATCCATGTTACGCCATAGGTCAAGCCTGTGACACCAGGCTGGCAGCTCTATCAGTCTTGTGAGGCTTTCAGACAATGTGGGTCAACTTCCTGGGGCTGGACCACTCTGCATATTTAGAGAACAATCCAGTCTGTAGGTTCTTTTTCTTTAAAAAAATTTTTAAATGTGAACAAATTTTATGTACTTCAGCAGCATAGTGATACATCCCACCTTACCTTCCCTCCCATCTATTCTGCCACTCTCAGTCCTCCTTCCTTTCTCATTCTTTTAATTTTTACAATGATCTACTTTTTTCTACACTTATGAGATTAACCCTACACTAAGTAAAGGATTCAATAAATAGTAAGAAGAAAAAAAATACTGTTCCTCAACAGCAGAGACGAGGGCTGTGTGCTTCAAGCAGCTCCACATCACTTCTTAACAAGAAAAAGTGAGAAGACCTGAGAGCAAAATAACCAAACTCAAGTGAGCTACCTCTACAATTTCACATTATGTTTAAAGGAAAGTCTTCAGATGATTGCCCCGCTTTCCTGCAAGCTATGAACGCCAGTGACTTTACACTTGAGCAGGAGGAAGATGAGACATAGACACAGAGGGCGTGTCGGGGCTGACACGACCACCTGTCACATCCTGGCTATCATGGAAGGCAGGCTCTCCTGTGAGCCTTCCCAGAGTCCTGTCAAGTCTGATCACTCTCATTTCAGAGATAAGGAAACCCAGATTCAGAGAGTTCTGGTTAAATAGCTAACTGAGTACCAGAGCTGGGACACTAATCCAAAGCTGGGATTCCAACGCGAGTCTTTCTGACTCTGTACTTACTCTACTATATTTTTGTATTACAATGGAAAGAATAGGGCATTTTTCAATACTGTGGGAGCTGCTATTTTCCCATTTGGTGTAAGAATGAGTAAGTATGGGGCCAGTGTTGTGGTTTGGCCTGGGAAAAGCAGAGGAAGATGGCTCAAGTGTTGGGGCCCTTGCAGTCCACGTGGAAGACCCAGATGAAGTTCCTTTCTCCTGGCTTTCACTTGGCCCAGCCCTAGTTGCAGCAATCTGGGCAGTGAACCAGAAGATGGAAGATCTTTCTCTCTCTGAGAAGATATCTCTCTCTCTCTGTGAAACTCTTTCAAAGAAAATAAATAAATCTTAAAAAAAAAAAAAAAGTTCAGGGCTCTTCTCTAACCTAAAAATGTAACAAACAGTTCAAAAGTCTTAAGGAGCCTCCTACTTAAAGTCCTTGAAATTAGCCAACTGCAATACTGTTAAATTAGTCTAGGATATTCTTGATTTAACAAATATTTATTGACTATTTTGTATATGTCAAGTACTATGCTAGGCACTAAGTACTAAAGAAAGTTACAAGAAACCCTTATCTCTGTTTTCTAAATTGTAAAATGTTAACTCTTACCCTCATTATTTCTGTTTCTACATCTGGAAGTAAACCAGCAAATACATGTTCATTAATCTAGACTTGTACTGTCCAATACGAATGGTTATCAAAGGCACAATTTTTGAGTACTTGAAAAACTGGCCAGCATGAACTGAGAAGTACTGTTAAGTATAAAATACACACTCAGGGGCAGGCATTTGACAGAACAGTTAAGACAATTTGGGACACCTGCATTCCATGTCAGAATGCTTGGGTTTGAGTCTTGCCTCTGCTTCTGATTCAGGCTTCCTGCTAATGTGCACCCTGGAAGGCAGCAGGTGATGGCCCAAGTACTTGTATCCATGTCACCCAAGTGAGAGACCTGGACTTCTGGCAACTGACATCAGACTGGTCCAGGCCTGGCTATTATAAGCATTTAAGGAGTGAACCAGCAGATGAAAGATCTGTGTGTATCTGTTTCTGTGTCATTGTCTTTCGAATATATAAACAAAAAATTTTTTTAAAAAGTATACACTTGATTTCAACAACCTAGTATTATACAAAGAATATAAAATATCCATCCATTAATGCTTTATAAATATTAAAAATGAAAATATTTCAATATACTGGGTTAAATAAATTTTAAAATTAGTTTCACCTTTTTAAGCCTTAAATTGTAACAAAATTTTAATTATATGCGATTATCATTGAAACGCAATAATCTAAGGTATGACTACAATGTTTGTGAGAGTCAGAGAATAAGAAACTCTAAAAACAGTCAGCTTATAATTAAAGATATCAGGAGACACTCTAAAATTATCACAGCCTTAATTGGGAATAAAAGTAATAGAAAAATTCTGGCTTACATAGTAGGCAGAAATCCATGAAATGAAGACGAAGAGTTAAAAATAAACCACCACTTATTGGGCTATTACTAATAATCTTTATAATGGAACCAGCGTTGTGGTGTAGTGGGTAAAGCTGCCACCTACAATGCTCTCATCCCACATGGGCGCTGATTTGAGTCCTGGCTGCTCCACTTCCAATCCAGCTCCCTGCTAATGTGCCTGGGAAAGCAGCATCAGATGCCCCCAGTGGTTGGGCTCCTGCAACCCATGAGGGAGACCCAGATGAAAGTCCTGGCACCTGGCTTTGGCCTGGTCCAGCCCTGGCTACTGCAGCCACTTGGGGAGTGAATCAGCAGACAGAAGATGTCTGTCTCTCTCTCTTACTCTGCATTTCAAATAAATAAAAAATAACTCATTAAAAAATAATCTATACATTATAAAATCAGAAATCATTTTCTTTCAATTCTCTTTCACATATTAAAAACTGAGATCTAGGCCGGCGCCGCGGCTCACTAGGCTAATCCTCCGCCTAGCGGCGCCGGCACACTGGGTTCTAGTCCCGGTCAGGGCGCCGGATTCTGTCCCGGTTGCCCCTCTTCCAGGCCAGCTCTCTGCTGTGGCCAGGGAGTGCAGTGGAGGATGGCCCAGGTGCTTGGGCCCTGCACCCCATGGGAGACCAGGAAAAAGCACCTGGCTCCTGGCTCCTGCCATTGGATCAGCGCTGTGCGCCGGCCGCGGCGGCCATTGGAGGGTGAACCAACGGCAAAAGGAAGACCTTTCTCTCTGTCTCTCTCTCTCACTGTCCACTCTGCCTGTCAAAAAAAAACAAAAAACAAAAAACAAAAAACAAAAAACTGAGATCTAAAGGAGTACAACTGCCAAAATCACACACAGAGGAAAAAAACAAAGAAAGAAACCAGTGGCTGACCCACAGACAAGAACCTGCAACTTGGAGCTAAAAAAAAATCTTCCCCCAGTAGTATTTGTCTTATGCTTTATACTT